CAAGATTCAGCGGCACGTGTCCGCTCCGCTTGGTCGCTTTCCGTCCGTTTCAGCGCGATTTGCCCATGTCCATCTCGACATCGTGGGACCTCTGGCCCCGTCCAAAGGAATGGTCTATATTTTGACCATGATCGATCGTTGCACCCGTTGGCCCGAAGCCGTTCCCATCCCTGACGTAGCTGCGGAAACCGTAACACGCGCTTTCGTCGAGCGCTGGGTCGCTTCACACGGCTGTCCAGCCACAGTGACTACAGACCGCGGTCGCCAATTCAAATCTACGACCTTTAACGATCTCCTTAAACTCATTGGATGCCAACGCATTCGCACGACCGCCTATCATCCGCAAGCGAACGGCATGGTGGAACGTTTCCACCGACAGTTGAAAGCCTCACTTAGCGCCGCCAATGCGCTGAGTTGGACTGAAGTGCTGCCTATGATCCTCCTTGGGATCCGATCAGCCCTAAAGGCCGATCTACGTACGTCTAGCGCCGAGTTAGTATATGGACAACCACTGCGTTTACCTGGCGATTTCTTCTCCGTTAGTCCCAGAATTACCCGTTACGACGCAAATTATGCACGTCAGCTTGCCACGAGCATGCGTCAGTACAAGCTTCCCGACGTTAGAGAACAACAACGTAAATCTTATATTCCACAAGACCTGCAGCATTGTCCGTTCGTTTTTCTCCGCCTCGATGGTCTCCGCAGACCACTGGAGCGACCTTACGAAGGTCCTTTCAAGGTCCTGCAGCGTAAGGACCGCGTTTTTATCATCGACCGTCACGGTAAACGAGAAGCCGTTACGATTGACCGTCTCAAGGTTGCCCACGTGGAACCTGAGCTCGACGAAGACCCTTACTCGTCTTCTGACGAATCAACGCAGCCTATGATGGAAGACTCGACTGCTTCCAACATCCCTGACCCCAAGTATCACGATCCATCCAAGCCTTCCACTTCAGCTCCGCCGCTTCCCATCGAACCAACTGCCACGTCTTCAGCAGTTCCTCCAATTTTGCGATCCGATAGGACGTCTAAGACGACGCCTTCCTCTGATACGAACAAGTCGACTAGGTCGGGTAGACGCGTTCATTGGCCAGCTCGATTAAGGGATTAGCGTTCCTTTCACTTTTCTTATTGCTTTTCTTTTCCCTTTTGGCCAACAACGTACGAACCCCTTCCCAAAGCTTTTGAAAACGCCAAAAAACCGACAAAAGTTTTTTTGAAAACCCAAAAAGAACGCAAAATGTTTTGAAAACCCAAAAAAGAACAAAACGTTTTGAAAACACAAAAGAGCTGCGTTTTGCCTGACGCCTACCTCATCCGGTAAGTGTCACTCTTATTTTTGCTCTCGCCTCCACCGTCACTGCTCTTGTTTCCGTTTATCTTCCATGTATGAACCGGAGGAGATGACGAGCCTGAAGCGAACATTTGACCTTCACGAACTCGCGAACATTTGACGCTTACGAACTTCCCCCCATTTTGTGTTTTTGGCACCGTTAGGGAGGACACGGGTGGGAGCCCGCTAGGGTCCGATCGCCTGGTTCTCCCCCAGCAGCTGCATCAGGTTTCACTACCTGGTCTCGCAGAAGGCTGGCCCGCGACGGACAGTCCTCACGTAGATCGAAGGGTCACCCACGGTTTCCCTTCTAGGAGGGGGCTGTGTAGCGACCTGGAGATTCCCCCGTATGACTGTGTAAACTATTCTAAAATATTCAAATTATAGCTTTCTTATGCATTAGGGAAGTATTCGGTTTGCCTGTTGGAACGTTGTTCCCGTTTGTTGAAAACACGAACACGATCTCCGCCTTTGGCGCGCGGCTCGACTGCGAACGACGCTCCGTCTACGCTCTCGACGCCAACGACATTCTTCCTAGCTAGCTCTCTCCGGGTGCCCTATTTTTAGCATTAGCTGACGCTCCTCCCGTCCAATAAACTACTTCCATAGCTTACTTTTGTGTCTTTTACCCATTGCTTTTGGTTGGCCGTCTAGTCGCGTACCGGATATATAGCGCACGATCTGCGCGCTATATATGTAGCCCTTGTAGTTCCATGCCCTCTCCGGGGTTGAGGCGACTAATCGTCCAGGGAGACGCAATGTGCAGTCATAAACGAGTTCGGCCGGAGCAGCGTTAATGTCGGATTTGACAGTATTTCGTAAGCCAAGTAAAAAGGGTGGGAAGCGCTTCGTACCAGTCTGCGTTATCATGTGCATATAGTGCAGCTTTCAGCTGGCGATGAAAACGCCCAACCATGCCGTTGGCGGCAGGGTGGAATGCAGTCGTTTGGACGTGACGGCATCCGAGAGTCTGAAGAAGGTGGGCAAATGTGCCTGCGAAGTGCGAACCTCGATCAGTTGTCGCAACGGCAGGACAACCAATAAATGAGACCCATCGCTCTAGAAAAGCGCGAGCGACAGTGTCTGATAAGCAATCTGGCATTGGGATGGCATCAGGTCATCTTGTAAAGCGGTCTATACAAGTCAGCAAGTAAACGCATCCTTTAGATGGAGTCAGGGGCCCTACAAGGTCAACATGAAGATGGTGAAAACGGGTGTCAGGAAGTGGAAATGAACCAAGCGGACTTTTCGTGTGTCGATGAACCTTAGACTGTTGGCAACTAAGGCACGTACGAGCCCATTGTCTAACGTCCCGGTTGACGTTGCGCCACACGAAGCGTTGTGTGACGAGCTTAACTGTGGCACGAATGCCCGGATGCGATAAACTGTGAAGAATGTCAAATACAGTGCGTCGGAAAGCTTAAGGAACCACTGGTCGTGGTGAATTTTGCGAAACGTCGCAAAGTATGGTTCCATCCGATGTAAATAAATAAATAAATAAATATTTTATTCTCGACCATGCGAGGCACGCCAATTGAGGCATGATCAGGAATGTACAGCTGTACAGACATTTTATGGGAACTGTAGTGACAGTAGAAAATTGTTCATATGTCCATGCTTAGAACTGTGCGATGGTGAACATGCGAAAGAACGATTTGGTTGTAGTGGGATCGGGATCCATTTGTTTGGACATAATCGCTCTGCCATATATCGCAGTCATACCTCGACTAATAATAGATAACGAATCCTGGGTGATCCATTGGGAGATAATTGAAGAGCAAGCTATCCAGTATGAAGATTCTAATTGAGCTGCCAGTGTGAAGTTATGGGCTGTGACTTTATTCGGTGGCGAGTCACATTCGCCACGTTGCAGTGTTGTTAAACGGACATTTGTGGCTTTTTATAGGGAGAACGCTTGCCAGGCGAAAACCCACCACGTCCTGAAACACTGCCGCCTATCCATTGAATGGCAAGTTGTAACTGGCTATGTTTCTTGTTGAACGTTTTTTTGCTCCGTTATTCGCAGTCAAGTTGTATCCCATTTTTCTGCTGACTGATTCGTTATGCGAGTGGCCATTGCGTGCCTGGGTCCTCTCCTGTGCCAGATCGGTAGGTCAGGAACTAAGCCTTCTTTTTGGATATGATGTGTTGATCATCTGCAGAACCACGTGAAGTCTTGAAGAATATATGTTGAAATATGTTGAAGTCTTGGAGGACAGGATAGGTTCCGAAGAAAGAATCGCAGATCCCCCGAGGTATGTAGTGAAATTGATTAGAGATAGGGGAAACCACGGCCATTTGAGCGGTCAAAGCGGATTGAAGAGCTTAGAATAACCGATTGTTCAAGCTTTGTATTGGCAGGAGAATGTGCCTTCCGTAGTCGAAAGCCCTTGAGTCAGGAGATATGTGGAAGAAGGATTGTTAGGTAAATTGAACTCAGTGGTTCATGCCGCGGAAGAATTGTATCAGTGCAAGTTATGGATTGATTTGACCGGTATGTTGTGAAAAGGTTGATAATTTTCCGCTCATTTTCTGGTAAAGGAACTGTGTGCCTTGTATTGTTGCCGAAACGAAAGACAATTCCTTGGGTGCGTGTCGCCGTACCTGTGACAGACTCGGGAGAAAAAAGGAAATGAACAGAGACAGCCACACAGACAGAAGAAAGGAATGCATCAGGAATGCAGTCAATCAATTGCGGCGATGCCTGAACTATTGTACCCCTATGCATGTAATTGTTATTGAAATATCGCATATACACGTATATCAGAAGTGGCGAAATACGACGAGAATCGATCAGAACACGGATCAGTAAGGAATGAAAGATTGAAGATGAAGCAGAAGTGTTTGGGGAAGGGTCAGAAAGCAAAAGATCGTTTAGATGAGACTGGATAAGTCAGCAAGATGAAGCTAGGCAGTCAGCTTAAAGTAGGGATAACAGTAGTGAATGTAGGCAGTGGAACTGGTCGTATGCGTAAGGAGCTAGAGTTACGAAGCTGATCCAGCATCGGGTCACTCTGTTGAGCAGCAGCCATTGTCGCTAGATCGATACCTTCAGCGGATGTGATGGAGCTGACGCGAGAAAGAGCATCAGCGACAGAGTTCTGCACACCCGAGACGTAAACTGCGAGACATAGTCCAGGTGGCGTATCTCTCTCGGAGAGTATCTGTCGGATGACGAGTCGAGGGCGCAAACTAAATGTTTGTGGTCAGTGAAGACGATAAAGTTTCTGCCCTCTAGAAAAGGACGAAAATGAGGTCGGAAAATTTATTGACATCCGAGATTGGACCAAGCAACTGCCTACTTCTGAGATAGAACGAAATAACCAATAAGGACTTACTTGGACCATGGCCTTAAATCAAAACCAACCACCCTGCTTGCACAAAAAGGGACTTTAAGGCAAAAATGGGTGGGAAACTCCTTAACCGCCAACCATAAACCTTAATACGTGGTTAAGGACTTTGGCGACGATTTTGAAGGCAAAATTTGTCCTTCCACTGCAGCCGCATTAAGTACCCAGTGGAGGACTTTTCACCGTGTCCAATCCGAACCTAGGTTAGACAGTAGATGACAGACACACCAGCGAAGCATGAATGGTCATTAACGGTTGACCTTGGGCGGCGTGGACCAATGGCCGTGCACGCGCCACGACACTACGCACGCAACAAG